ACCGCTCTCCTCTGACCACTCCATGGCAACATTAAGTTTGATTTTAAAGGCATAAATAAAAATTCTGCTTTTCTTTGCAGTCTGGCAGAATTAAATTATTTCTCTTTTTAACAAGTTTATAATCATCTTGCCTTTTCTACCCAAAATAACAAACTTCAGGTTAGAACCAAGCAGCTTCAAAAAAGAAAAGCAAGGGCAAAAAAAGCAGCATACACTCTGTTTTTTGCCAATAAAATATTGCAACCTTTATTTAAAACAAAATGCAAATTGGCAAAACTCTGTGGAACGACAGGCAAAGAAGCCCTTCAAAGGGCCTTATTTACATCAAGTTTAACACTGTTCGCAGTTCACAGTCAGACAATAGTGAGAGAATTAAATTAGAAAAACAACCAAAATATATTACAATAACAATTAAAAACAAAAACAGTTGACAACACTGGTAGAGTGATTGGTGATTAACGTGTTTCGTTTTAATCCGTTCCTGCCCTCAATGAGTTCACTACTGACACAAACAGCGTGCTGAGCCGATGGGGCTTTACCTCCCGCGCACGACAGACACATTTGGAAGAATGACCTCCTTTGGTACAGACGTTTCTTATCGTGTAGGTATTATAAATAAGCCAGGTGCACCATAACCTCTTATTTCCTAGACCAGGGAACAGGCTGAAGGTTTTGTTCTACGCTACGGGCACTTGGAGAGCAACCCCAGTGCCCGTCTGGGCTCGATGGTGCCACTCGCACTGAAGTGGGAGGTTTCCGAGCGTGCCGTAGCCGCTACCCTTCGGTTTTCCTGCCGGCTGCTGATTAGCAGCGGGGCTGGGCTGAGTGTTTTAAAACAGAAGACAGCAGCCTGTTATGTTTCCAAAAAAAAGATCTGAATTCGTTAGTGCTTGTCACAGCTGCAGATGCCCAAGAGCACTGACAAGCAAAACACGGAGCGCCTCAGCTGCTGGGGAAAGCCTGCCGCAGGTAAGCGGTACGGACGTCAGGGTTTGGATTTCCTTACTCGATGACCGCACGGTGTAACCCATCCTACCCGCTCTGTTAACGCAGCAGTTTTGGGGCAGCTATTGCCCCACGCTGTGGGGTTTAGTTCCCGCTGCCTGCAGAGAGCGGTGTGCCATAAAACTCTTGCATAAGCACACCTGACGGGATGTCAACACACGTGTGTTTGTGTCTCGCTGACACAAGGCCAGCAGTGCTCAGGAGAAATGCCCTGTGGGAGGATGGGAACAGAGAGCCCCCCCCCCTTCCCAACTGTGTTCTGCATCAGCAGCGCTGCTCCATTCCATTCCACTTTCCCAGCAGCTAAATTTGACCCAGACTCTTAATTCAGTTTCACCCCTGTCCGCACTAATGAAAAATAGGATTAAATCAAAGCGCTGCCAGTCAGACAGCTGAGTGCACCACTTCTGGGGTTCAAACAGTGTACAGTGCAGGAAGAAAGGAGAATTGCACCTGTGAGTCGGCTAGTTGCCCACAGTAGCGAGGGAGAGAAAGTGCCCCACGGCAACTCACTGGTGTGAGCGCATGCTTTGTGCTTGGCGTTACCAGGCCCTACGTGATGCCATCCCCTGTTGCAAAGACTACCTTAAAGCCTAGCCCATACTAGTGCAAGTGAGAGAGCCTGGCTGCAATTGCATCTTTACCCCACAAGGCCTTCTGACAGGGTGAGGAAAGGAAACACAACAGGAGTTTGTGCCTTGTCCCCTACCCCGAACAGTGGAGCAAGAAGTGCTCTTCACTGGGACCAGTAACGGGGCTTCTCCATCCTTAGGTTACTTTGAACACACTGTGCAAGGCTGAGAGCAGAGAAGCTGCTCCCGCAGAGACCTTTAAGGCTGAACAGAAAGTCAAACCTAGCAAAAGGGAGGAGGAATGGTAACAATTTCAGGAGAGCAGCTGTGGCAGGAAGAACAACCTAACAGTGCTTTACAGCAGAACCAGCTTTCCCAGATACCTTCCTTTTGCTCTCCTGGGAGAGGGCAGGGGAGAATTCCAGCTTGGGAATCACTGTTGGGCAGCAGAAGCAGCAGCAATTCTGCAGCTTCCTATTTAGGGGAAAAAAACCCCCTAGTGTCGAGTCAGCACTACCTCTGCCACCATCTACCTACCTGATGTAAGACAATAGGTAAGAGCAAAGAAAACGCCTGCCGTAGGAGTGATGACAGGCAAATCCCTGACTTCCACTGTCCCACGTTTTCCCTCCACTGGAGGGATCAGAACGGAACAGGCTTCTGTGCTGCCCGCAGAGGTTGTGGAGTCTCCGTCCTTGGAGATACTAAAAAGCCCGGGATGTGGTCCTGGGTGGCGGCTGGAGGTGGCCCTGCTTGAGCTGGGGGTTGGAGCAGATGGCTTCCGTGGGTCCCTTCCAGCCTCGGCCGTTCTGTGACGCTAAAAGCAGATGGCTGCTTTGACAGTTACTGCCCATCGCCTCTGCCAGGAGGGGAGGAGAAACCAGTCCTTTGTTGGGGCACTGTTAGTTTCTTCAGAAAGGGTTGAAAGAGGGGAGTTTTAATAGTTAGAAATTCCAAGAATTGTTTGCTCTTCTATCACTTTTGCTGGAGCTTTTCTGGAAGACTGGTATTCAGGGAGGGGAAAAAAAAAAAAGGCTTCTTTCAAAATACTCATCAGAACTGGACTAACAGCCTTAACATTTTCTGGTTATAATACCTTTCCCCTGAGAATCACTTCAGTTTCAGTCCGTTTGTCCTAGGCTGAGTAGGAGTACAATGATGAAACCACACGATTGTCTGCCAGGGCAAACAAGACCTGCCTTTCTGCCCCGAAGAAAGCTCCCATACCTTTTTAACCCTTTTGATTGTTTAAAAAGCTGTGTGAAGCACTATCACAAGCCTTCTCTTCTTCCTTCTGCAGGTCACTTTTCCAAAGGCAGGTTAGTTTGGTGTGCAACTATGTACACCTTCAATAAAGATGACCAAAAGAGATAAGGTAAACCGCAAAAAGCCTTCAGTAAAGTCTACAAGATAACGATTTGGTACTCTGCCTTACGGCTGAAAGAGGGCTGCAGGAGAGCCGAAAATCCTATCGCAGAACTAGACAGCAGGCTTTGTTGGGTGGGCTTGGTGCTGCTAAGTCAGGATGAGTAACCCACGCTGTACTTCCATTTGTCTCCACTTAGGTTCTAGCTCACTGGAGTAAAACTGACTCATAGGAATAATTAATTCACTTCAATCAGTTAGGGTGGAGGGGGTTGCTTTTTTTATTCACCATTTCGCTTACTTGGACAGCGTAGCTCACGTGGTCCATTTTACCTCACGTACTGCTCTACTGGTGCACATTCATGCATCGTGACACAACTTTGTGTACCACAGACCAGTAGTAAAATAAGAATTCTCAGACACCAGCCCATTTCTAAAGATTTTTCAAGCCACTGTCTCGCTGTGCTCTATGGAAAAAACCAGGGACACTTACCGAGACCGCCCAGCCTACTTCCAAGCGTCAACAGGGCGATGCTTCTAGACAGAAATGGAAGTGCCCATCTTCTAAATTCACACCTGTGCCCCAGCTCAACTCTAAATGCTCAAACTAAAAGCAGCACAGTCACGCTTTAAAAAAACAAGTTTAAAAAAGCATTTTAGCCAAAAATAAAAGATTTAAGGTGCAAAGCAAGCCAGATCCTCTATCATCACCAACAGTGTGAAGTGAGCAGCAGCATGCAGGGTAACGTGTATTTGGAGCTGTTTTCTTCCTCTCTCAAACCAACGGTTAGTTGAGGTCTTCCTACTTGCCAGTACATCTCAGGGAGTTGTGCGTATACGCAGATGACCGGCTTTTTGAGGCCACAACAGTCTACAAACAGCACTAGGACCAAGGAAGACAACTTCAACCACGCAACTGCTTTCATTCTGGGATTGTCAGTAGGCACCAGAGGCCATGACACAGCGGGAGGTCTCGGAGGCAGAGCCATAACACTTTTGTCACATCTTAGGCAGAGGAGTGCGCAGTATATGTGCGTGTTCCCTACACCACAGCATGAGATTCTGGTCTAGCCTTTAAAATAGAGGACTAAGTTAAAAAAAAAAAAAAGATGGCTATGATTCCCCCCGTGTGCTGACATACCTAGTCACCTTCGTACGCACGAAAGCTGAAAGCCTGCAAGACAGGTAAGCACTAGAAAAATCCCAGGAAGCCATCAGCATGATGTGTTACTGTTATGCCAGGAGTAGGGACTGGTCCAGGGACTCCTGCAGCAGCGAGGCGCATGGTGGGCAGGCCAGGCTGTACTTTCTGGCTCTCCAGCTGGCCCCACAGTTCTGTGACTGCTGAAGGAATGTGGAGAGCAGCCAGAGCTGGCAAAGCCTCTGCCTTACCTACCATGGGTCCTCAAGGAGATTAAACTGAATTGGGGAGTCAACCTGGTAACGAGTGAAAAACAATCTAGAGCTTTAAAACAAAAACCAACCAAACAACCCACCCACCCCAATAACAACATTGGCAAGTTGTGCAAGAGCTCCAAACTACTCACAAAAGACCATCAAGCAGCACCCGTGCTAGACCACTAGAAATAGGTATCAACTGAGTGAAGGCTGTGTGGTGGGGAAGGAGGGATTCCAGTGGTAAGTCTGCCCAGCATCCCTGATGCTTCCAAGACAATGAAGGTGAGAACGCATGGTGGATGAGGAGGACAGGAGGGAAAAGGGGTAGTTTCATATATTAACTGATTTTTTGCAGTTCTCATTACAGCAGCAACAGCGCTGTGGAAGTAAGCCATCTGGGCTAGTGCATCCACCTCCAGCAGCTCTGAATACTGTCAGTGCATTAGACCTTTCCCCCAACCGCACGCGACCTCCCCCTTCAGAGCTACTCCAGCTTGGACTGCTCGGCAGTTGGTACTAACGGAGCCCCCGTGCCTTTCCTCTGCCTTGTCAGGAGGCCAAAGCGTGTGTTAGTGCAGACAGGGGAGGAGCCGTACAGCCGAGTGGCCTGCAGCCACTCCAGTACTCCAGCTATCACACATCAAACCATCCTTCCCAGAGCGAGAACCTGCCATTGATTCTCCTGCCTCTCCAAGGGAGGAGCAAGGAACTGCCTTTCCTTGCCATACCAAGCAGATCAGACTGACTAGGTAGGGACAAATCCTTGATGTTCTGCCCCTTACAGCTTTAACCTACCCTCTCCATCCCCATTTTTTTTGAGATGAACCTGTAAACGTGAGGAGAACTCAGTGATGTGAGGTACTTCACATACTCAAGTATCAGTCTTTCCTTTTGAAAGCATCAGTACAGGAAAAAAAGTGTCCCTGTCCCCCCCACCCCCCGGTGTGTATTTCTCTTACCCCGATTTGACAGTAGCTACCTTTGCACCACATCGCTGATTTCTTGGACACATGACAATAAGTTATTAAGGACGGGGTTTGCCCCAGGGACACTAGCAGCTGTTGAGGACACCTGCAGTTCCTGCAGGCTGAGTTCCAGTTTGCTCACGGCTTCCCGGAAGGCAAATTTGTTGCGTGTATGCGGGATGCAGTCCACGTAGCCTGAGCAGTAATCCAACAGCTGGTGCCCTGTGTCCACCAGCTGGCTGTTTGGTGTCGGCTCGGCGATGGCACTCGAGAGAAGATCTGCGCACTCCAGCAGTGCTTCCTTGCTGATTTTGTCCGCGGAGATTTTCTCAGCTGCCTGTTTGGTCTTTCTTAGCGCTACTTTTGTGCCGGCTGTGCCGTTGGCCATTTTTACTGGGGAAGTGGAAGACGATGACAGAGGCACTTGAGGTGGAGGCATCACGGGCCTCCCAGATTTTCCACCAACAGGTGCTGCCGCTGCTGCCTTCTTACTCCCTTCGCCTGATTCCAGTCCGTGCTGCGCTCCCGCCACATTGCTCAGCTCTTCTGCTGCATCTGGGCAGGCAGCTGGCTGTTGGAGGAGCCTCATCACTGGTGGTGGAGGTGGAGCACACTTTGGTTTTACCCGTCTGGGCCGGTCCCTGTCGCCAGAAGAAGTGACCTGATGCTCAGATAAGAGCTTAAATTTATTACCCTGAGAGTCTGTGCCAATGAGCTGCACGTCTGCTGGACAGTGTTTTAGAGTGGGTGAGATTAGGACTGGCACTTTGTGGTTATGAGTGGTTGGAAGTATTGCTGCAGCCTTTACTGGAGATGACCACCCTGGCCTCTCGCCATCCTCAAGGGCCCCTTGCCGTGGGACACTGTTTTTTTCTTTGCCCTTAGGAGCTGCTGCTAGGCCTGGACCCTCCTTTTCTTCCAATCCAGAGGGGGTTCGGAAAGGGAGTGCTGTGGCACCCCTCGGCAAGAGTTTTGCTTTTGGTCTCTCTCTGGTCAAAGCAGGGCCTTCTTCAAACCTTTTGGGAAGCAGGTCATTGGCCCTCCCCGTGCTCTCATCGGGCTGAGAGGAGGTGGACACTGTCCGTTCCAGCTGGATTTTTGATCTCTGGGAATTTCTGGGAAGGGTCATTGCCATCCTATCCTGCTCTGGAAGCCCTGAGGACATGGAAGATGTAGAGTTTGACCTTGGAAAAGGCTTTGAAGCTTCTTCATTGCCAGTGGGTTTTCCCGCTCGTAAACCCAGTGTCTTTTTAATCAAGCGTGGCGTAAAGAAACCAGTGATGCCCGACCACCCACCACCAGTGCTTACGCCCCCACCACTGCTGGTACCAGTGCCATCATCACTGTAGAAAGTCCTCTGCACAAAGCCCCCGCCATAGCACTTGGGTGGCGCCAGGCTTGCATCCTGCTGCGTGGGAGCAAAAGAGAACCCATCCACATGCTGCAAGGAAGCAACAGATGAAAAGTTACCCGTCAGCTCGTATTTCTTATGGGGCTGATTCTCCATCTCCCGGAAGGAACTGCTGCGCTTGGGAGGTGTAGGAGCATTCCTCTTCTTCATAAAGGAGCTGAAGAAGCCACCTTTTCTGTCCCTGGTGAAAGTGGTCTCTTTGGCATCCTCCAACAGGCTGCTGGGTGACTTGTCCCTCTGCTTGCGAGGCAGAGCGGGAGACCCACTTGGTGGCTGTGTGCTTCTGATAAAACCTAAAAGGAAGAAACAAGTGTGAATCTGCAAATCAATTTCCATTTCCACTTCCCTACCCTGCAGTGGGCTTATTGGCCTGGCATGTTTAACTGCCCAGGTTCTGCAGAGATAGAGAGAGGAAGTTAGCACTTTTATTTTTGTGCAAGGCTGGCGTGCTTTTGATTATTTTTTTATTATTTTTTTCCAATTCTGTACGCATGACTTGTCTGTTGTCTATACTGAGGAGGTCACTTAGGAGATTGGTCAGGAGAAAGTGAAGTTGCTCTTTTTTTCCACTTTCTTATTCCTTTCCTGTAGTTCCCTCCTCCTTCCCCAAATACCACAAGTATAAAAGAAAATCTCTTGTTGCATTGTCAACTTTAGTTTTGAAGCTGTCATTTTAAAAAAAACAGCAAAACTAAATTTCAAAGAAAAAAATACAGTGAGATTTGCTAAAAGAACATTGAGCAAGCTGCAGTGCTTTCTATTTGCTAATAAATAATCGGGGTGCTGAGGTGGCCAACAGCCCTAATGATATAGCAGCGCAAAGCACCTTCCTGTGTCATGTTCTGTTTACTGTTTCTCTGGCAATTTCCACCAGCAGCAAACCTATCCCAGAACACATGGCCTCGCTGCCACCATCCCAGTGCCCGTACCTGGTGCTGAGCTGGAGGCTGAGTGCTCCACAGTATCTTGTGTTCCTTCAATGTTCTCCTTGTTCTCTGCCTGTTTCTTCAGTGTTCTAGTCTTGGAGGGAAGCATTGGTAACCGGGGCAAGTAAGGAACTATGGAAGAGGAGGAGGCTGTTCTTCCAAGCTCCTCTGCTACCTCTGCAAAGAAAAACAAAACAAAACAAAACAAAAAAAAAAACACCAAAAAGGGAATAGTTGGAACAGAGACCAGCAGGGGAAGAGGAAAAGAAAACCTGGGTCTTTACTGCAAACCCAGACTGGCAAGAGGAGATATGTGACTGAGAGATACGTCGTTTATGGATTTAGTTTTTGCTCAAGTAGTCCGGGGGCATTCAGGGTAAGAAAGATGGTTTTCATAATGCTTTCAAACTCATTTACGTCTTTACAAATTCAGCAAAAAAACCCCAAACAGTGACAAGAGGTCTGGTACGAATATAGTTCTCTGCTGGGTTAAGGATTACTCAAGAGCTAAAGCCAGCACTAAATGCATTTGCTTCTGTTTTTAATTAAGGTGCCTCCTGTTGATGCTCCTGGGATCCCCAAAAAGTTGTGTCCTTGTGTCCTCTCTGGATCTGGATCTAAGCTGCTTTGCTTGAGGCAATGCACCGCACTTCCCTACTAGAAAGGCAGACTGATGTTTGGAGGGAAAACGTGCAACATAAGGTATGTAATTGAAAAAGAAAAAAACACAACCTCCTGGGCACACCCAGGTTGGCATTTGTATGGGTCACTTGATGTGCCTGTTACAGATCTTCCCTGGTAGAGTTCCATCTGGTGTGTTTTTTCTGTGGTAGGGAAGTGGATGAATCAGCTTCGTATTTAATTTAAAAATGTAGATGATGCTGAGACAGTTCTGCTTGTCTGCTGTCTCGTATCACACTTCTCACCAGTATTTACCTACTAGTTGATTACGTTTGAGAGTTGAGTTGCAAAGATTCGTTCCTAGAAGTAGCTAAGTAGAAAATTCAGAGATTAAGGCACACTTTTTAAAAATGAAAGCTGATAGAACAGCATTTCATGACCTAATTGCTGCAGTCAGTAGTGGACTGTGATATGCATAATACATCTTTCTCAGCATCACTCACTATTCCTTACACTTCAGTCCAGGAAACAGAGTTGCTTGCTCTAATAGAGACAATATTCTTTAAATTACCTCTTTGGCATCTTGGTTCTCCTGCCCTGGTATATGTCTAAGATTATTTAGTATTTGTGCACCAACTAAGAGCATGTATTTGCAGACTTATAGTTAAGAAATTAATTAAGGGGCAAAGCTTCTCACAACCTCCACAGCTAGCAGATGAGCCTTAAAAGCCCATCCATAAGAGAGAGCTCTCTGGGGGATAAACTCCAATACTGTTTCAGAAGTACACAAGAGGGGCTCTCACCCTCTGAGATGCTCGAGTCGTGGAACATGGTTTCAAAGGCCTGGTGGGTCTCAGCAAAGGAAGGTCGGTCTGGTGGGTTCCACTTCCAACCTGCAATGTGAGAAAGCAGAGTAAGTCTCAATGCCTGAAACAGGTAGGAGATGATTTTTTTTACTGTGTTCAAGGAGACAGAAAACATGTAAGCTTTCTCAACTGCAGTCAGACTCTGATCTCCTACTATTAAACAGGCTTTAGAGTCATTCACAGATATTAATTCATAGCAGCAGTCAGTCACCCTATTGTATCCTAACAAACAGGTCTTGAGAGGAAGGAATCGATTCTAAAAATCCCAGCTCTCTGCCAACGCCTCAGCTTTTTCTGATCTCTCATTCCTCTTCCTGAATTTTTTTGGCAAAGAACAATTCCACGTTTGCTACCCCGGCTGTTTGGACTGAACTCATCTAACCCAGTGTTTTTGTGTGCAAAGCTCCAGGCAACATTCTGTTGAACGGAATTCTACACGCTGTAGAACTGCCCCTTAAGCCCTAGTTTGTCTGTCTCGTATGCTGAGGGCCACACAGATTGCTTGAGTTAGCACCAAGAAGTCTCTTCCCACCCTGGTCATACTAACAGGGCCTCTCTGCTCAGAGCTGCTTACCTTACTCAGCACCACAGCCTGGTTTGCTCACTAGGATCTTCAGCCTTTCACCCAATATATTCTCTACTCTGAAGGAGATTGGCAATGCCCTGAAACTCTGTTGCTCTCTTCCTGCAGCACACTGTTGTATCTTTTGGTCTTTTATTAGTAGATTTTCAATTTGTTATGGAGCACTAGGGAGCTTTTCACGGCTGATACTAAGGAGCATGCCTGGAGGATGCATTTTGTGCAACTTTGTCAACTACATGTCTGTCTCAGTTTGCAGAGAACTGTTCTTCTATTTTGGTGATTCCAGAGTAAGAGCCCTACTGACAAAATACCACTGCAATTAGCCACAAAGTACTATCTGGCTGTACTCAGAGATGACAGTTTTTGAGAGTGAATTCTTGTTCCCTAGAGACCAGACTCATTTTGCATCAATAACCAGGTATGTCTCAGGTGAGGGGGCCTTTTCCACATTAGCTAACAAAATGGCACATAAGCAGCAAGGACTTCAGAGTTAACTACAGATTTCTCCCACCCTTCCCAGGCTTTGTCCCCCAAACTGGAAGAAGATACTCACATGCCCTCATCAGTTCATAAACCTTTGGAGGGCACCCCTCTGGTTGTTCCATCCGATAGCCCTTTTCCAGCAGATCATATACCTGAGAGAGGTCAATGCCTGGGTATGGTGACATCCCATAGGTAGCAATCTCCCACAACAGCACCCCAAAGGCTGCAAAAGGAGGAAAACAAAATTCCTAGTCATATGTCTGCCCCCCGTCTTGTGTTGCTCATTACGTTGTGGCCTTTACTGCAGCTTGAGGCAGCATCATTTTCTTGCAAATATTTCGAGCCAGTCTAGGTGAAGACATTACATGCTAAAAATGCTATTGATTCACGAAGCTGTGGGTTGGCATGTGACTGCCTTCTCCCCACGTTTCTGCCCAGGCCAGAAAGCAAATTCCTGTCTAGGCTGGCAGAGAAAATGAAAACGAGCAGAACACTGAAGTGGAGTTTTCTTACCCCACACATCCGATTTGATTGAAAAGGTGTTATAGGCCAGGCTCTCAGGAGCCGTCCATTTGATTGGGAACTTGGCTCCAGCATGAGCTGTGTAGGTGTCTCCAGTCATAAGTCGACTTAAGCCAAAGTCAGCCACCTTCACCACGTGATTTTCTCCAACTAAGCAGTTCCGTGCTGCCAGGTCCCTGTACAAAGGGAAAAAAAAGCAGACTCCTTTACTGGAGCCAGAGCAGGGCTTTTGAACAGTCTTGTGGTTGCAGAGCCTGTACCTCTCTTCTGAATCGGGAAGCACTCTATACAGCAGGTAAAGGCAATGCGAGCTTTGCTCTGAACAGTGTCAGAAATTGAGAAGACTTATTCTTAGGAGTGATAAGGTAAGTCAGGATTAGGGTTCATTCTTTAAATTCTGTTAAACTTCCAGTAACGATAGCTGTTATGATGAGAAGTGTTTGTTTCCTGAGAACAGGATGAGATCAGCAGCTCATCGCACACTGGTAACAGCTTTATGGCACAGCTTTATCTGACTGGATTAAAACAGGACTTGGGGTTGACAATGTCTTGCATATAGGGGGGTACATCAGAACAGGACAAGACCAACTTTCATAGCTGTCAGGCAGTTGTGCACAAGAGTGTAAGTGCGCTACGGAAGACAGTACTGAAACCAAAACAGCCAATGGATAAGCCAGGGTAAAACCTAACTCTGGAAGAAACCTCCTCAAAAAAGGAGGAATTCCTGGGCCACCATGCTGGTGGCCTGTTCATCATTGCAATCTGAAACTGTACCAGCTCAACATGACTTTACCCACCTGTGAATGAAGTTCTTCTTCTCGAGGTACTCCATAGCAGAAGAGATCTGAGTGGCCATGTAGAGTAGCACAACAGCACTCACTTCCTCCCGGTTGCATTCCCGTAAATAGTCTAGCAGGTTCCCATAGGGCATGTACTCTGTCACAATGTAAAAGGGTGGCTCCAGGGTACATACACCTAGCAGTGAGGAGGAGGGAGCATGTGAATAAAGCTTCCCTTTCTTACTGCTGTTCCTGATTTAATATCCATTTGTTGCATTTTGTACCAAGAAGTATTACTCCGAAATGTGAAGACTTCCATCTACAAGACCCAGATCAATGCAGCCCAACTTAAAATTCAGTGCTTCTGTCTATTTATCTGTCCATCTACTTTATGGATAGAGAGAAACATGTCTATTAAAGCACTACTATTCCTTTATAATATACATGAAGGAGTAATTCTGTTCATTGGAGGGATACAGAATGAAACAGGAGCTATTTTGAACACATATGATTTGCTTTTCTTCCCCTCTCTTCCTTCATAAAGCTGGAAGCAGGTACCTTGTCAACTGGCAAGATTTCCAGACTGAAATGTCACTACAGAGTAATGTGAAGTACTCCCATGTGTGCTAGCTGGGTAAGTGATCAGCGTGGTGGGACCTGCTCCTAAACCAGCATTCTCACACATTCCTCAGATGACTACTTGCTACAGTCACTGCAATTATGTACAAAGTATGTATTAGCGGAGGAGGAGGGCAACAGCATACTCATGTCAAATCTCTGTCAACTCCCGCTGCAGCCCTGCTGAATGCCTGTTCATACCGTTACACACAGGAGTAAAACACAACTACACTGTGCATCAGAAAGAGCCAAAATGCATCCCTCTGATGAGGAATCTTTTAGTCTCTACTCTGGAACCAGACAGGGCTGGGCAGACACTTCATCTGTGCCCGTTTTTCAAATGGGTACGAAATAGCTGCCATTATTAAAAGTCTTCACATTCTTCACATTTCTCCTTTCATCCTAGGCTTGGCTTGACAGCTTTGCTCCTGAAAGCAGCAAAAGTCCAGAGGCAATTAAACACTAGTAAAGGTTTACAGTGTCTCCTTAAGAATCTTTGTACATGTAGAATTAACAGCTATGCAGACTATTTAATAGTGATCATCATATCATGCATTTGTCAGCGAGACAAACAGGGCACAGCCAAGCTGTAAAGCCTGCAGATTTCTTCCATTTGTGTGCTGTTTGATCTGACTTGCATCTCCACTGCCTTGATCTCATGTATTTATTTGGTGATATACAGGGTCCCTTACAACAGCAGCAATCTGGTCGTCTTCTGTTTAATTATGGACTATTTTTTTTCTAGTGCTGCTTTTTCTATAAATGTCTCTGATTTGAGAAGTATGGAGAATGGTACTGTGCTTCCAATATAATTTTCTTTCTTTCACTTTGAATTTTTGTATAATTTTGTTCTGTTCTATTAGAAAAATAAGTCATGGAAAATAATTTTGTAAATCTGATTTAACACAGCAGAAGAGGAATCTGACCTTGATAACTGAACCCTGGAGCATGTCTAAGGCCAATGGTACAAACTAACAGGAGGCTGATATTGCAAACTTTTATATAACACACAGTTGTGCCTCAACAGCAAAGTTGTCTACTAATGTAAGTGACTATATTTGATGTTTTATTTAAAATTAGTGTCTCTTAGCTCCAATACTACATAAAGGAGTAAGCTGCCAAAAATACCACCCCTTAACCTGACCCGATTCAAAAAGTTATACAAATACAGAAAATCTGCCACTGCTTTTAAACAAGACAGATATCATTTCTGTGGAAACTCAAGTAAGAACAGATAGAGCAAGGAATTTCACTAACCTAACAACTGCACTAGATTTGGATGCTTGATCTCCTTCATCACAGCAGCTTCTTTCAAGAACTCTTCCACCTCCATGGTATCTTCCTAGATAAATAGAGAGGCAAAAGAAAGGAAAATTTATCTTCATGACCAAGGTCTGCTCAACACCACGTACCTGAGCTGAATATAAATGATGACATCCTTCTCCGCTGTTCTGGCCTTTACCAAAGCAAAATATAAACACCCCTGAAAAGCTGCCTGGCTGCCCTGCAGCATGGCCAAGTGAGAGATCTGCAGTACCCAGAAAGTCCTAGGCTTTCTTGTTTGGTAGCTATTGTGGCTACCAAAGCATTTGCGGCTGGTGAGGGGAAGACTCTCAGGATCACTGACTTAGTTCCTAGCTATAAAAATTAAGCTTGAAAGCTCCCTTACTTAGGAGCTACATAGAATCTTAGCTGTTGAAACAAACAGAAGGCTTTGAAAAGGAAAATAAATGGAGAAGCTGAATTTTTCCAAGAGCAGGGGAGAGGTAGTAGAAGGTATTTCCAACACCTTTGATTTCTTAAAGCTTCCACAGCTCTTCTGAGGGAAGGGAAGTGGACTTGGTAACCATTTCTACAGATCTGGCTTGGACATTCCTGCAGGAGCTTGCTGGGGCAAAATTCCAAATTATTTCTAAGCCACATGCACTGGTGCAAGTTTGGTAAGCTAACTTTGTTCTGCAAAGCTACTCTCAAGCATGGATTTTATGCAGATCAGCACACTCCATGTTCTGATATTCATATCATTAGGAGATATAACCGAGAATGTTACAATTTCCTTACCCTTACCATAAACGGTGAACAAATGAACAGCGCATAACAATGTGAAAACTCACCTTTAATGTTTTCACAGCAACCGTGAGATTGTATTTCTTCCAGACACCAACGTACACCTCGCCATACTGCCCTCCCCCAAGTTTGTGCTTCATGGTGATATCAGTCCGCTCCATCTCCCACTTGTCGTGGATGGGGGACACTCCATACACGGTGGGCTTATTGCACTTGGGTGCTGGGTAATGCAAAGTTGTCACCAGTCCATCTGCTACTGTTGAGTGATGGTGCACCAGCTCTGCTAGTGTGCTGAAACGGCTTTCTGCTGTCACATACACCTGTTAAGAACAAACCAGGAATCTACTTAAATGAAGGCAGCGGGAAGCTTTCAGGAACACTGGAAAACAGGTACAGTAAAAACATTCTCGCAGGTTTAAAAAAAAAATAAAGATAAAGGAACCAGACTCTATAAAGTATTTGTTCTCATGTTGTTGGGCAAATGAATATTAATCTGTGGGATCTTTACGTGCAGAAGGTAGCTAGATATAAGCTATCATTCGAGAGCAGTGCTGTCTCCTGCCTCATGCTTTTCAGGACTAGAAACTGGAATTCTTGTAGCCAAGTGCAGGCCAGTTTCTGCATCACTCAACACATCATACTGCTTTTTGATCAAGGTTTCAAAACGCTGATTGAAACTGCTGACTTAGCAAAGCTCTGCTTTTTTTTAAGTGGATCAATGGAAAGGTATCACATCAAACCACAAATGCTTTGCTCCCTAGCTGCTTTCAGCCAGGATAGGTACCATCTGCACTTCTTCCAAAGCGGTGTTCGGTGAGTTACCACCAAACTCTTGGCATACGTGTTCTTTTTTTTTTTTTAATATAAATCAACCAGTGAACCTGTTTTCTCTCACATACACCACTCTCTTAACAGTCTGCAACTTGAGATTCTGTGCCACCTCTTAATTAATATCCCTATTTCCTCTCCCACAGCATTATCCAGAGATCCTTACCTTTCCATCTGAGGTGGTATTGATCCTGTAGTGGTAAACACGTCCTTCGTACCTGAGCGAGATGGATAGCTGTCCTGGGCTGCTCTCGCTTTCACGAACCAGGAAGCTGCCATTGATGAGACTGCTCAACAGATACTCTGCTGCACTGCGTGACACTGGCCCATGGTACCATGAATGCTTTTCCAGGCTGTTCACTGGTGTGATGTAGTTGCTTGGTACCCAGCCCTGCCCATTCTTCGAACGTACCTCACTCCATTCACCGTTCTGGTTGTAACCCAGGACTCGCAACTTCTCACCTAGGACCAGAAAGAAAAAAAGCAAAATAAGCACAGTGCAATCTATTTGGTCTCATTAAGGGAGACACTCACTATCAGCTGGCTAAGCCTGGGCTTGTAGTTTAACAACAAAAATCTGCAGCAGTGATCCTGTAACTAAACTGCTACATATAAAGTATTTATGAAGTAAAGTTTCAGACAGAATACCTAGGATACTGTTCCATAATTTACTGCAGTCTGATTGATGAGCTCAAAAAACTTCCTTTAGTCCAGCTTTTTAGACTAGAAAGACTTTTTTTTTTTTTGTTGGAGGGATGAGGTTTGTCTCATTCTTGAAGCCTTAAATGGCAAGTGACTTGAAACAGTTTTGCAGCAGATCATATTCTGATACATGTACTGAACAGAAAAAGAAAATCTCTGTGCAATTCTTAATTCTTGATTTTGCCCCAGTTAAAACTGCTGAATTCTGTTATCATCAATAACGTAACGGTTTTCCTTTGCCCCTCCCTAAAATAGGTGTCTCAACAGGCCGGTGGTTTGGGGAGCCTAGAACAGGGACAACTGTAGCAGGGCTAGACTGTTGTGCAGTGTTACACAAAGCTGTACCTGTGCTAGGAGAACTGCCCGGCAGGTGTCTCTCTCCAGCACAAGTGAGAGAGAGATCGTCTGCTTATAATCATCACTTTAGAGAATTATCTTCTCTAACTGCACTCATTCCTATTCCTATCCAGGGAAGGATTCTGCTTTCTATTTTCCACTGCTAAGCTTTCAACTTAGTAGCTGCTTTGCGATTCAGAGCCTTACCTTTGGTGATGCTGAGTGTGTTGTCACCGCTTGCTACAAAATCGTAAAGTGCAACAAAGAGATTGGGATCGCTCTCGGTGGCTCCAAGCAGGTTCTCCTTGGAGCTCCATCTGATGGCTTCATTCAGTGCCTGGGGTTCAACATCACAACCATAAGGGCGGTGCAGGGCCTCTGAAGGAAGAACAGAAGAGGAAATTACTTTGTGTACAACTGTAAATAGATCAAAACCCAGCATACAGCAGAGTGAAGCTCCTCTTCCACAATACGCTCTTTATGGAAAGGGAACACCACGGCTGCACATCTTAGATCAGTGGTTTTCAATCCCCACTTTGCTGACTCTTCATTCTATAGGTTACTTCTAACAGGCTGGAGAGGGTGACTAACTTGCCTATATAGCAAGTAGCAAGCTATGCATATAACATTTCTATTTAATACTTATTATATATACTTCTATTTATAGACACTTGTTTGAAAGTATTTAAGCATTCGTAAATAAAAAATGGGTGAAAACTTAGAAGTGCTTTTTTAATGTGAAGTAGTGAAGGAAACCTTTCAACACTGAAATATTATGGTGTACGTCTTTATTGTTTCTGTGGCTGAAGTAGACAGCCTGGATCTGAAACCGACACTACAAATACAACAGGTAAGACAAACTGAATTATGGCACAAGTGAGATCTATAGGTTGGGACAGTAACTGATTCAGTATTAG